ATAGACTTGAAAAAAAAAATTACGTTGAGTTGATAAAAATTTTTTATGCATGCTATAAAGTATAGGTGCAGGGAAGATCGACAAATTTCAAATTCCAGTTAATTTGTTAACAAATGATGTTTTTTCAAATATTGATAATGGCACAAATGATACTTCTTAGAACAATGTAATTTTAAAAACACATAATAAATACATTTTTTTATTTAATAAAAAATTTTTGAATAAAATTAAAGGTGACTTCAAAATGTATTACAGCATTGACTATGTAACCCAGAAAGATGTCAATTAAACTGAGAGTCATATATGTTTGTATTTTCTATCGGATGTTTCGAATTGTGTCAATAAAAACGTCCCACCACATAAACTACATTTGAATATTGATTCATTAGTAATGTTTATTTAAAATTTAAATATACCTTATGAGTTGAATAATTTAAAGAATTAAAAATTTTAAATTATTAAAATACAACATCAAAGCAGAAACTATTCTACGTCAAAATGTAGGCAAGGAAGTATTTATTCCACAAATCATTTTAAATAGGGGGGATCTTACATAATTATTTCATTCATTATAGAAATCAATCGTTACTCGTACCAGCTTTTGCAATGACAATAAAAAAATCACATTGACAAAAAATGTTTAAGGCTACACTGTACCTTAAACAGAAATTTTTTCTCATGACCAAGTGTACGTTTTCCTTTAAAGTATAAACAAAAAAAAAATACGTACAGAATGAGTCAAACAGTAAAATTCAAAACGAAAAATAAATAAATTAGATAGCTCCATACATAAAATTATATTTAACTTTTGAATACTTGAACTGCGATTTTTAAAATACAATAGATACAGACAGGACCAGTAACAGATAGGGGTAGATGGGCAGCTCTTAGCTACTACTGTATTTCTCTCATCTATATATAATGAGTAGAATTCATCAGCTAACAAAGAAAACTTATTTCATGGTTATAACAATATTATTATTGTAGAATTATTTGTGATTTTAATTAACGTTGTTGACCTTATTCTATAAAAAATTGCTTAATTCTGTTACGTTGTGGCCCTTTGACATAACTTTAGCACGCGAGAATTTGAACTGCAGCGTGCAGTGTGCGGACAGCAAATGTGGTTGTGTTGAGCAGTGTTTGTAATAAAATTGAAGTATTAAGAGTAATTTACTAGAACTTTTACGAGTAATGGGTGATTAGCAGCTGACAGCTCTCCTGGGGTTGGCCAGTGAAGTAAATCGCTTTTTAAGCCAGTAATATATTATAAGAAAGAAAAAAATTCAATTGAATTGTCAGCACAACTTGCTTTATTGAATCAAAAATATTATACTGATAATTTAGACAATCGGAAGTTTAATAATATGACTCACTGTAGTTAATACCAGCTACTTGTTTGTTCGTTGACGGATTCTCCAGGAAAAAGGACGAGATCGCAGGGCGCGATTCTATTTAAACCTTGAATTGGATTAATAATTGCGGGTAGGACTGGTGATGAGTCAAGGAGTGGAGGTAAATTTGATGAGCATATTCTTGAAAAAAGGCGCAGCTGCAGGTGTTAGCCAGCAATTGAATTTTGCGGAGGTGGAGTTAGGAAGCAGGAATAAATGGTGAGCATGCAATCAATCTAGAGTGCTTTGGTATCGATTTATGGGTGCGGTAGCTAGGTGACGAATGACATATAGCATTTGTTACCGACAGTGGGTGGACGTCACTAGACGTGACACGCCCCCCCCCCCTAAGTTCTTACTCGCCAGGGGAGTTCGGGCCTGATAAAATCAGCTTGCGTTTTACAGATATATGTTTTACATAATTTGAATACAGCTAGGGTTACATTCGCATGGAATATTGTCTTTACATAATAGTATTTCACATTACAATGTGATTCGATAGTTAACAATTGTTTTATTTTCTCATGATACAGTAAGTGACGTCTAGTGTTTCTTATATATTTATTTATT